TCGGCCAAAGGTTGCCTTGCATCAGCCAAAAACACTTCAGCATCCAGATTCTGGAAGGTGCACCATTTCGGTGGAGCCGGTTGCGGGCGGCTAGGTACCTTCAATGTTGCAACGATTGGCGCATGATCTGTAATCGGCAAGAATGCACCAACCCGAAATCCAGTTACAACGCATGGTTTGTTGGTAGCCATGATATCCAGAATGCTACCCCGGGTATGCGTTGCCACAGGCCGGCCAAACATGCCATTTAGGAAAACATGGTTGCGAGGTAGAGATTGCTGAATGCATACAGCAACTGTACCCAGAGCACTGCCATCTGCAGTAAGCAAATCAGGAGCATTAAAATCTCCTGCCAAAACTTGCTTTGCATTGGGATATCGGGAACATAACTCCTCCCATTGATGGAAAATATCTCGTATACACGCTCGGCGCTCTTCCACAGGGCGCCCAACATGCGGCAGGTAGGCGCTGCCAAGCAAAAGGAGGGTATCATTGAAGGAAATCAGCCATGCAGCAAAACGATGGGATTGCAACTGCATAGGTGCCCTCACGCAACAACCCTGAAAACATGCACTGTACAGCAATCCTACTCCAAAACCAGGCAAAGATTTTGGTGCTGGGACAAAGTCAAACTCCCACTCTGCGCTCACAGGAAAGGAAGTGGTTCTACTGATGCCTGTCTCAGCCAATAAACAAAAGTCAACTGCATCATTCCGGCACCAGTCAAGGAAAACACACCACTTATCCTCAGCCAACGAAGCGTCGCGGCGAGCCAAGCAATTGATATTGAGAAATGCAACTTTAATTAAGTCTGCTTTCTCTCCATGTCACGCCTTCTTTCGGGTTTTTCCAGGGGGTGCAATGAATGTGGCCTCCAAAACTGGCCAAATTTCATGATCATGCGGGAAGCCACACTCACGCAAGTAGTCTGCCACCGCCTGCTTCCCAACAGGTCCAACTTTCTTTCCGAGGCTTTGGACAAAGAGCTTCAAATCAGGATTCCTGGTGGTCAAAGACAATGGGGGAAGCAACACCTTCCCGTTCGACAACGTCACTGAAGCAAGGAGCGAAGACAAAGGAGAGACGGTAGCTTCTCCAGCATCATGAAACCAGGACGACTTCAATAACATTGCGCGGGCTGCTCGGATGATATCTTCCTTCGTGGAATTGATACGGGCATTGCCAGTCATTCTGCCCGTAGCACTCGGATAGATCTGCAAATTTCCACAATTCTTATGCAATCTCAAAGCTACTTGGATGACCCCAGGGGAAGTCACCTTGGCACTTCCCAGCATGCCAAGGCCTTGCTGCCGCAGTACAGAGATAACAGCCTGGACATCATCAACTGTGACAGGCGACCTTGGAAAATGAGGA